GGAGAAACTAGGATGCGGGAAGTGATAACTACACCCTCCATTGGTTTATACAGACTGCCTACGCAGTTTCCAATCCCTTTATACTCTAATATCTATGGTAGGTGTGGTACACACCTACTGACACACCTACTAATCAATGACATACCATAAATTATTTAGTATTAAGATCTGATGTACATGTATCAATCATTAGACATTGAGCTATACACTCTACATGTAGGTCCTGCATTTATTAAAGTGATATAACAGCAAACTAATTGGTTAATAAGAATCTAACTCCATGGTGCAAACGTTTGAACATTTGTTCATTTTGGTCAATAGAATGTTTGAATGCTAAAATTTTAAATTCGTCCAACCTCTAATTTAAAGTAAAAATGCCATATTTGGAACCGTAGAGCTGATATTTTTTGGCTTTTTCAAAACTCTGCTGGTCCTCTGTCAAATCATGTACCTCAGAGAGCAATTGTGTCAGTTAAAGGGTGTGAGGGAGGTATGATTTGCAAAATGTGTAGGTGTGAGCTTTTATATGATACACTCATTTATGGTTTGTGGAATTAAATTGTGCATTTTTGTAATAAACAGCAATAGCAAAATTAAATTTCAGTAAATATTTCTAGCTATACAGTGTTTAATTAAACATTACTATTCAATACAGAGATACAGGTACTAGTTGATAAGAGAATAACATTAGCTCAATTGAAGGAGGAGCTAGTTCCACTGATTGGTGTACCATCTACTGGTTTTAGACTGTATAGATTCAGTGGTTATGAAGAATATGAAATGGAGAGACTGGATAAGACATTAAAGAATATTAAATCTGGATCAAAGGTACATGTACATGTACATGTACATGTATGTGTGTTATTTTGATTAACTTCATAATTGTTTATACTACTAGTTGATAGTAAGACTGGGTAGAGCATTAGGAAGAGCAGAGTACAGAATTAAATTATATTTATTACAAGTTAACAATACAGAGGTATAAGAATATTTTATTATTATAATTTGTATAGATTCTTTGTTTTTAGTTTTGTAAGTTTATGATGAAGCCTATTGTTGCTAAGGATACACCAGTGAGAGAACTTAAGAAACAAATTATTGAAGAAGCAAAAGTACAAGGAATTGACTGTGTCCTTGAATTAGACAAGTAAATACGGCATACGTCATATATTTTGAGGATTAAATTTTGTGACTTTTGCATTTTGCAAAAATTTTGCTAAGTTAAAATCCACAAAAATCGTGATGATTGTAGTAGGTGTCATAATTGCATTTATATCATGAAATTTTAATATGTAAATACAAAATGCAACCAAATCGCAAAATTTTACACCCATAAACTATATGGTGTACATCATGTGACTATCATGTGACTTATTGTGTAGAATGAGATTACGTGACAAGAGGGGAATTATCCCTGATTCAGTCTATCTTGATGATGAGTCGATTGATACTACTAGTCAAATGTATGTGGAACCATTGACAGGTCAGTATATCTGCTGTATGTGTTAGTATTAATGTGTATAGTGTATTATTATAATTGTTATTAATGTGGGTGGATATTCCTGAGTTCAGTCTTTGTCTTTATCATAGTTGTCCTTTTGTTATAAAAACTGTCGTTGATTTTTACTTTTTTAACATATCTCAGTTATATTTTCAGTATATTGTACTGTATGTACTAGACGTATTTTATAGTAAGTTTAATATTAGCTAGTGTATTATTTTGTTAGGAACTGAGATGAAGCATGAAGCACAGATACAGGTGTATGTTATAAGATGGCGTCCATCGCAATGTTCAGTTGATCCAATAGAAGAAATTATACTGGATAAAATTGATCCTAAACATGCTATAGGAAGAGGTATTATTTATAATAAGGAACATGTATCAGTATCACA